TAAATTTATATTTAATATAAAAATTTAATATATTTAATATATAGGATCACGTCTAATTATTATATTTATCTACTGTAATATACGTATCTATGTATTTTATGTTTGTCCCCTAATTTGTTTTTAAATGTCCATACATAAAAAATTTGTTTACAAGGAGCATAACATTATAAATGTTAAATTCCTGTTTTGAATTGTGATATGAATTGCAAATTCTTTTTTAAATATCCACACATAAAATTTGCTTTATGTACGTTTGAAATTATTTCTTTTATTACTTTTTTTATTCCTTTGTCTCTCAGCATGTTAAATTTGTTACGGAATTTATGCATCAATTTATGATGACAAGTACATTTAGATAAATTCTGAATGAAAAATGAACCTATAAAATGTACGCTTAAATAGCGTAAACGTCGACAATTAAAATGATAACTAAATATAATGTGCATTTAGCGTAATGTTATCGATGCAAGCATTTAATGGTAACGAGATCGTGACAATAAAGTAGCAGAATATTGTCCGGGAGTGACATCGCGTTTAATGAAATTGAAGGCTGGCTTGCCAGGCTTGTCTCGTTTCAATGCATTTCGGAGGAAACGAGGGTATAATTGATTTGTCATGTATCTGACAGGCGCGAATCTGCTTACATTGTAAACGGCTTCGCACAGTATCTAAAGGATAAAAGGCTGCCATCGCGACGACGCTACCCTGAAATGTCAAAATGTCAAAGTTATCCCACAACGATGAGGTAATACGTGTAAGATTTCTGATGTGTCAAATATAAACTCACCGCTGCACCGGATATCGCGTGCACTAACGTGTCATATGTAAAGATGTTTCTATTCTGTCCGTTACCACCCATTTTTACGGCGTTCCCAACGCGAGTTGTATTGGTCTCGGGAATTGTATAATATAACACGACGTTGTATTCGTTATCTTATAGTTACTATCGCAGGTAACACGATTCAAGCAATGACACGTTGCAATGACACGTCATTGAAGAATACCTCAATCGATTCGATGGCGCTCATAAAACAGTTTTCTGTAAAACAATCTTTCTGAAAAAAATATATCAGAGATGAATTAAAATGCATAAAAAAAGATAGCTTTTCTAAAATTAAATATGTAATGTTTCAAATCAGAAAATTATTTTTAAAATCTCTTATTTGGTTGTAACATAATTATTTAATTAAATATAAGAGAGAGAGA